CCCCAAAACCCCAAAACCCCATCATTCAGCTATAATTATTATAATAGGAGTTATGAAATAAATGAATCAAAATCTTAAATCTAAAGAAATTAAAACTTAAAGTAAACTTGGTCAAACTTAACAATTCTTGTTTAATAAATAATTTAAGCAGTTTTCATTCTTCCTTCTTCATTTAAACTTTACTCTTCTATAACCATTTGTGTTTTAAAATATCTTTCAATGAAATTCTCTCATCAGGTTGTGTCAAGATCTGCATGATTAAGTCCTCTGCTTAAGAGTATCTACTGTGAGGAAATTCATAAATTAGTTTCACAATTCTCTCTTTGATCCTATCTTTGTCCCGATCATGGAAGGGAGTTTAGCCATAGAGCATCTCAAATAGAATAACACCAATACACCAAATGTCCACTTTCTCGTCATACTCAATTCTTCCATTTGCTTTCTTTACTAGCATCTCAATGGGATAGAATTCAGGTGTGCCAACAACATTAAATTTGAGAAACATAGGGTGATTCTTCTTTAAAGCAAATCCAAAGTCAATTATAACAGTCTCATAATCCTCTGTGATGAGAATGTTCTCAGGCTTTAAATCTCTGTGAACTATTTGTCTTTTGTGCAATTATACCAAGGATTCAACTATTTATCTAAACAAACTCTTGCATAAATCCTCCTAATAGATTCCACCTGGTTGCTTTTTAAGATTATGGTACAAATCACCTTTTTCATAGTATCTGAAGACCAAAGTGATATATTTTTCATCATTCAAGCATTGAATCAGCTACACACAACCTTTGAGTTTCCTGATTGCTTTTAATATTTCAATCTCGCATATAAGATTTTGCATGATTTTCTTCTCATTAATTCTCTGAATGCTCATTACCTACAGATACTTATTTATAAGATGATAAAGCTAATAGAATTCAAGAAATTTAGTAATAGAGCGCATTTAGTTACATTACCTTCAAACTCACCGGAATTTTAGTTGAGTTGCATCTTCCTAAGTAAACAATTCCTATCATACCACTTGACAAAATTTTTCCAATCTAATAGTATGTTAATATACTGTTCTTTTTCTGATCCTCTGACTTAGACTCTCTCACCTTAATGACTGGCTTAAAAACATGATTCTTGCCATCATTTGGAGTCCTACTGCCATTATTTTGTCGGGTATTCTTGTATTTTTTTGCTTAATTGGTGATGTTGAAATTTTGATCTGTAGCTTGTTAAATTTAATGCTGCTCCTAACGAATCTTTCTTAGCTCATAATTAGTTGTAAACTCATCATAATGCCCTTTGAGGGAATTTTAGTTGTATTTACTCTTGTGTGGTATCTATTTTTTCTAGTTCCAAGGAGAGAGAGATTCTTGCTTTAAACTGACAGATGTAGACACATGTTATTTGATTGGAGTCACTGGTCTTTTCTTGAGAGAGCTGGTAGGGAAATTCATCTACATAATCAATACTAAAATTTACCAACTATAACTAGCGATTCTTCTAACCTCGAAATTAAAACTATAATTATATTTTATTAATCTTAATATTAAAACTAAAGTGATTTTTATCAACAATATGTTTACTAATTATCATTTAAATTATATATTAAAATGATTTTAAAATGTAAGTCATATGACTCCATCTAATGCAGCCCTAACGGGGTTTTGGGGTTTTGGGG